TTTTTTTTTTTTTTTTTGGGGTTTTGGGTTTGGATAATTGTGGTTTTGGGTTTGGATAATTGTGGTTTTTTTGGGTTTTGGGTTTGTCTTAAACTTTAATGCATCTCTCCCTTCAACTTTTCATTTCTTCAATTGAGTCCCTCATCTTAATTTCCTTCATCTCCTTTTTCCAACCCTGTTCGCAATATATTCTCTTTTTGCATGTAGCACCTGAAACAACATAGAATATATTGTAGTTAAAGAAAAGAGAAATTTTCGTATTTTTATATTTTATGATTTTTTTTTATTAATTTTGTGATTGTGATATATATATATTTATGGAAAGTCTAAATAAACTAAATGAAAAATCGGGTTATGACAGATGTACCCATCGCTAGCCCAACAATATATGATAGGAAACTTTCGCATTGATAACATAAAATGTAGTTTGGGATTGGACTAGACCAACCTTTAATTCAAGATGAATGTATCCAAGGGCATGCTCACTGCTACTGCCGAAGCCAACAATGCTAAGCGGAGATCTGATGATCTTTCACTGGGAGATTCTCGCAGTGGTAATGGTGCTCAACTGTCTCAAGTTAAGAGAAGATCTAGCATCAACAAGTACACATTTGACACCAACAGAGTTAATTTGAGCAGATAAGTAAAGAGGCTTCCTGTGGTTAGGATATGGTGCCTCCATGTCTTCGTCAGTGAATGTGATGGCGTTAGATGACTTCAAATAAGCACGAATAGTATGTGCTTCGACATTGAGACATTCTCTTTCAGTTTCGTTAGCAATGGTGAGTATGGACTCAGTGGCTCTTTGTCATGCATCAGTGGTGAAATCGAGCTGATCAAATAACATCAATGGTGAATGCACGGACAGAGAGAGTGGATGCATCATCAGGAAACTCAACAATTGGCGCACTCATTCTAGCATTCTCCACGTGAGTGAGAACATTGACAGTGCCTTGGTTATGGTGTGGAAGAGGATTTTCGTCTATCTTCTATCTTCTGTTTAACACTTCTAATAGCCATTTTGAAACCCGTCAATGATATATCCTTCTCAAGGAAAAATAGTCCGTGGTCGCATGGTGGGCAAAGTGATGGTAGCGACAGTACTTAGGGTGGTGTTTGTCATCATCGTTGGGCTCGCGATGCAATTGAGGTAGCGTGATGGCACCATCAATGATCCATTGATCTAAGAGCACATCAAGTTCTTCGACAATTAGAGGAATGGGTGATGGCGATGCTGCATCACGATCTCTCCTTTTCTAACCTTGTCCTTGGCCACAAACAGAGATAGCCAATGTATGAGTAGTGGTTTTCTTTTTTGTTGACTTCACCGTAGAGTTCCCAATAGAGATGCCTTTAACAGAGATGGCTATTCTTCTGGTAACAACGAGCAACCTTGCAAACTAACTGATCCCAATCTTTTCAAGCACAGCACGATACTTCGAGAACATATTGTTGATGCAAATCTCCACCAAGAAGGACTCAGCGTGGCCACTGTAACAATCAAGCGCCAAATCCCTAAACCTCTTCACATAGGCCATCAAATCCTCACCGGTAGGTTGACGAGTGTTGTGGAGATCAAGGATAGTGATACGCTCTTCGCTTTAGAAATATTTCTAGCAAAATTCTTTTACCATCTCATCCCAAGAGTGGAAGCAAAGTGGTATACCATGTATAAGCTTTATCGAAGAGAGACTTTGAGAACTCGTGTAGGCACAAATCTTTATCCCCGGCATGAGCCCCCATGGCATCAAGGAACTTGCTGGCGTGCTCCACAACGCTACCTTTCCTTCCATCATATTGTAAGAATGTAGGACTTTCATATTTCTTTGGGTATGGCTTGGACAGAATCTCTTTTGGATATGGTGGGTCACAAACAAACTAGAAAAGAGTTGTCCCATGTCTAGAATGTTCCCTATCCAGAAGAACAGTAAAGTCCGCCATAGTGACGAAACCTTGGGCAGAATCATCTGCATTAGGTGGGGCTCTATCAATGCTGGCGACTACAACTGTCGATGGTGTTGAGCTATCTGGCCGTGCAGCAGGACCTCCATTTTCGTCAGTAGCCCAGTGTGGACTTCTTATGGCTGAGATTTTCCAGCCACATTGACAAGTTGGGCTGAATCTTGTACAGCATGTTGCGTTTGAATGTTGGTGAAGAGCTGGGTAGTCCTTTGCTGGTTTTCATGCAGGACCTGGATGACTCGGACTAGAGATGCAAGGCTAGGATCAGTGATACCTTGCAAGAGGTCATTGAAAACATCTGTCGACGGGTGTGGTTACTGAACCTTTTGTCCATCGTCCTGGCCCTGCTTCTGATTCCCATTGGCAATGTGGGATGAAGTGGCTCTTGTAATAGGCATGGTCAGAAAAGCTTGGATGAAGGTGAATAAATATCACAAAAGAAGGATGTGGGAAATACTATATCATTGAAGGAGAGCAGAACAGGATGAAGCTCTAGGACAACCTCCCCAATGGAGTCACCATTTTTTGTTGGGGTGTGCTGATGATGCAACCTAATGAGTCAGCAGCGATGATGACGTGGAGGCTGACTAGAATGACACCCATGAAGATGAGGAAGGGTTCTTTCGGTGGCACTGTCTCATGTGCTCAAGGCTACATGCTACGGCCATCTCGTTCTGCCCAGTGGTGATGTCCTACAGGAAGTTTTCCAGCAAAGTTGAAGAATGTTCCAATTTTCCAGCCAAGCTGATAGAGTTGTTAAGCAATGGCAAGGACCCAAAGATTCAGAATGATAATGAAACTATCAAAATCAACAACAAGAATATATGTATATTGCTGGAAGGGTGATAGAGATGGTAAATATATGGGGTTCAATAGTTACAACTTAAGGATCGTTTTCACACATAAAACACTATAACATAGTAGTAATGACACCAAATGCGACCTCTATCATCTTTAGTGAACATTTTCACCCTATAACGAATAGCTCTCATGTTAGGCATGAAGAATATAATAGTTCTCCTTCTGAAATTCCTTCAAAAACAAAGAAAGGGATAAACTTAAGAGTAATGATGGGAGAAGGAAGGATGTCCACTTAGGCAGGCTTATAAGTGGAACACTCAATCCCATTCTTTGATGCTAACCATATGGCTTGATCTTTCGAAGCTCAAGAAGGACTACTTGGGAGCCAAAACTTCCCAGCCATGTTGTTTTGCAAGCTTGGAAATATTTTGCGTTGTTAGGAATATAGGAAATCGAGAAGAAATGGTGATTTTCGAATGGATTTTCACCGTGCAAGGTGGTAGGATGGTTGATTAAAGATAAAGGGATTTTAAGAGCAAAATGGAGGTCTGATGCGTGTGGGAGCAGGTTGGAAAAAGCTCGTCTGTTCTCTGTATCTCCTTTTTTTTCTTTTTTTCTTTTTTTGAAGAATAAAGGAAAGGTGATATATATGTGGCTAGTGGCATTTTTGTAATTCAGCTTAATGGGTCAGAGATGTGCAGATGGGACCAGGTGAGTGTCAAGCTTTGAATTGTTTCAGGCACTATTAAGGGCTTCTTTGGAAATAGCATCATGAATTGCTTGTTTGTTCCAATGAAGTTTCACTGGTTCCAACGATGGATTGGAAATTGTCTATTCTTGGAAATTCTCCCAGCCATACAAAACTTCATTTTGGGAGAGGTGCTTGAGTGCAATCGGCAGGAACAGCACCTACACCGTGATTTGGTAAGTTCCCCAAGCTCTGTGCGGGATTTTGGGAGATTCTACAAGCAAACAGTGATTTTTGTAGCGGTTTCCAAGGCTATGAAACTTGTGCAGCCGCCCTTGCATTAAATATGGCTGCAAGTTGCTAATGGTGATCCAAATAGCATCTCCGGTTTGTCTTTAATAGGATTTCCAGCCTCTGGTTAGCATCAAAGGGTACTGTTCCAAGAATTAAGTTTGTTTCCATGCCTTTGCTACCCAGCCTTTTTTGTCGAAGTCGAGCAACATCGCCAACACTAAGCTTTGCTTGCGCAAATGCTTTGCTTCTTCAGGTGGCCAACGTTCATCCATCCATGCCTGCCAAGCCATTACTCGCATAGTTTATCTCGAGTAATTCCCATGAGCTTGGGTTCATGGGCTTACATTTACTTGTGTTAATAACAAAGCACATATGAGTTCATGTTTGAGTATCTTGAATATAAGGAACATGTGAATATATGTAATGAAGAAGGAAATTCCCTTGTGTGCATTCAAGGAGGCTATGTGGACAAATGTTTGCTGCTTCCATTCATTTGCTAGCCGTGGCAAGCACCAATATGTTGTTGTTATGTATGGTTGGCGTTGCGCCAGAACAGAGAATAGATGATATAGATACATGTGCCGTGATATCGTTGTCCTGAGCCAAGCTTTGCTGGTTGGCAATACCTGCTAACACATAAAATATAAAAGAGATATGTTATAGATTGGGATTACCGTCGACCAGTAGCTTTGTCCTTTTGTATAGGAGAATGATAATTATTCATGACTGCTGGCCATGTTGCATAAGTATTGTAGGGTCAGCCATGAATGGCCTTCCCATAACCAGAGGAACAACAATGACTAGCTTTGTCCATGACTAGAGCATGAACTATGTGGAATCAGAAGAGCATTCCCATTAGTTTTCCAAGTCGCAAAAGGGTACATCTCATTAAATCAAACTCCGTCATAGCGAGAAATATGTGATAAGGAGAGGTGGAGTTGTCTCCATGAAAAGGAGACGCCAGCTGTATCCATGGCCTCCTATACGATAAGGGGTGATACCACTAACAAACGTTGGCCCTTCTTACTATACTTGCACTGTTAGGGGGTGGTCTTGGTTGTTGTTGCCCACTGGGCACCACACCACCATGCACGAACGACCACCAAAGGACCATCGGCCGCTACTTGATGGATTTTTATCATTGGAGGGTAGCCATCCTATCCGATCATAGGGTTGCAACTGTTATTGGCCTCAAGCTAATCGTACCAAGTTGTGCTGACTCCTTGTCCGTTTTTGGGAGCCAATGAGATGAATATGTAATAAATCTGGCCCTTTGTCCATCGCTGGGAGCCGTGTAGATGTCAACCCGTTGTCCAATGATGGGAACCAATGATAAAGATATGTAGAAATAGACGCTTGGCCCGTTGTCCATCAGTGGGAGCTATACAGATCAACTCATTATCCTTGGATGGGAGCCATCTAGTAAAACAAGCTCTTTATCTATTGTTGGGAGCCATAAGTCACAAAGATAAACATCGTTGTAGAGGACATGGATGTAAAAAATGCCTAGTGTCTATAGCAAGATAGACTCTTTATCCATTACTGGGAGCCAAAGAGATGTAGTAATAATCATGACCGTCAAAAATGCCTAGCCATGTCTTAGAGATAAATGCAGTCAGAAGATGTAGCAGTAAATATTGTTGTAGAGAACATGATCGTCAAAAATGCCCAGCCATGTTAGGCAGATAATGTAGCCATGTCTGGCCATGTGTGTGGGGATAGATGCTGGAGTGAGTTACATTCTGCGATGTTTCTGGCAAAGCAATAAGTGTCATTTCTAGCAATATTGATTCCACAACAGTAATTAGTAGAAAATTGGAGTCACACGTCAGATGTAAAAAAGAATAAGTGTTGTGGACCTTTGCTGATGCGGATCCGCACACGTCATTGGTTATGTAGTCATGCAAATTCATCCCTCAACAATATGCCACATAACACTTGTCACATGGCTATTCTTTATAGCGATGACATTGACTAGGAAAGACTTAATAGCAATATAACATGCATGTAATGCATGTGAGGCTCTTAAGTTAAATTTTGCTTTATTTCCATAAACTAAAAAAATTGGAGGGTAAAAAATC